CCTCCAAATTCCCAAACTATATACTCACTGGGGCTATGTCTCACTCTGGATGGAGAGAAGTTGAAGGAACTAAGCCTGTATTCTCTAGAGTTTTAAAGAATGAGAGGTGATTTTATTGAAATTTACAAATTTTTTATACGATGTGCTATGGTAGATGTAGATAGAATATTTCTCTTGATTGGTGGTGTCAACATGGGGCAACATGATCTCAGAATAAGAGGTAGGCAATGTAAGGCTAAGAAAAGGAATTTCTTCACTCAGAGTATGGGAATCTTTGGAATTCTCTACACCAGAAGGCTGCGGAAGCTCAATTATTGAGCATATTCCTGATAGAAATCAACAGATTTCTGGATACTAATGATATTAAGGGATATGGAGATAGTGCAGGATAGCAACATTTGAGGTAAATGATCAGCCATCAACTCAAGAAGCAGGCTTGACAAGCTGAATTACTTTTGTTCCAATGCTCCTGTTTTCTGTCTTCCACCTTTTTTGAATACAGGTCTTACATGTGCTATTTTCAAATATGCTTATGCCTTTCCAAAACTGAAGGAATTTTGGAAGAATATGTTGAATTTATCTACTATCTCTGAAACTGCTACATTTAAGCTCCTAGAATGCAGGCCACCTGGTCTGCGGTTTTGTCAGCCTTTAGATCAGTAGTTAACTGACCACATTTCCCATGGTGGTAGATTCCTTCCCTCTCATTCATGTCATGTTTCTGATTACCTTTGGGAGGTTTTCCAAGTCTTGTACAGTGAAAAATACCTGTTCAAACATTCCCCTTTCTTTGCATTTTCTGCATTTTCTGGGTAATTAATGTCCGTGTAAGACATCCTGAGTAAAAATATGGGTTACAAGGTCCTACTGAGCAACTTGGAATGAGTCCTGCAGCAGGAAGGACAGAGAACTCAGGACGTTCCCGACATGGATCATAGTGGCATAAATGACCGCAATTTCAAACCAGGTGAGTTAAACGCAAGATTTTTGACTTTTTTAGGTACTAAAGTGGATGAGAGGGGATCTGACTGAAGGATATAAAATTCTAACAGGGCTGGGCAGACTAGATGCAGGAAAGATGTTTTCCCTGTTTGAGGAGTCTAGAACCAAGGGACACAGTCTCAGAATATGGGGTAGGCCATTTAGTACTGAGATGAGGAAAAATGTCTTCATTCAAAGGGTACTGAACCTGTCAAATTCTCTACCACAGAAGGCCTTGGAGGCAAAGTCACTGAATATATTCAAGAAAGAGATACATTTTTAGATTTTAAAGGCATTCAGGAGTATAAGTAGAAAGTGAGAATATGGTTTTGAGATAGAGGAACAGCTGTGACCATATTGATAATGGTGGAGGAGGCTGAAGGGGCTGAGTGGCGTACTCCTGCTCCTGGTTTCTGTGTGAAAGGGTCAGTGGGCAGAACAACCATTATCTATCAGCATCAGTGCAATGAAGTGGATGGAGCTCAACCACATCAAAATAAACTGATTGTGATAAACCTGCTTACGTCAGACTTCACTCTTCAACTGAAGAGACCGCTTCTTGATTTCTAACTGTTCTATTTATAGAGAATGTCCCTTATTAAAATTCTTTCAAATGATTCTCGGGGAGATTCATGAATTTCAATTAAGTTTTATGTTTAAAGTTCCCTGTGAACTGATTGTACGTTTGAGGCAAAGGATGACAACAATTTTGTAAATTGAAGCTATTATGAAGACTTTTGCACACCAATAACATTAATTGATGCATCTCATTACCCTATGTTATAAAGGAAGTGTCTGTAACTAGTAATTTCCATTTACCAAACATCCTCTGCCTGCTTGATTGCCTACAATGAAACACTGATGTAGATGTCTCGGAACGATCTCCCTCCCAGTACAGTCCCCTTTTTGCACCTGTGCAATGAAGCAGAAGAGGACAATGTTCAAAAGGAGGAAAATAAACGTGCTTTTACACTGGAATCTGGATAGAAAATAAAATTAGCGTATTCTGCTACCATTTCAAAAGCCATAAGCATGAATAACAGATTTCAAATGCCTAAATTATAACAGCTTAACACCAAGGTTTTGTTTACTTTTTGTTTTTTCACTTACGTTAAAACACAGAGTTTAAAGTCTCAACCCTAGCTATATGTTAGTGTTCCAGCACCTCCTGTTTGAAATGAAATGTCGATTGATTTCTGCATCTGTGGTGAAGTGGTAATTAATGCTGCATCATCATTAATGTACCTGCCAGACAACTTATCATTCCATCATTTCTCAAAACAGCAGCCACCTCTCTGATCATAGATTGAAATACACCTGGTTATTAATCACCAAATCTGGCATGAACAACTGAAGACTTACTGTCTCTTCCTTTTACTTGAAAAATACATCTATAGCCATGCAAGTAAATTGCTTTTGCAAGCTTCCTTTTTCAGAAAAGAAACTTCCATTTTAGAATAAAGATTTCTCTACAAGTTTCGTCCTTCTAAGCAGGCAGCTCAAAATTAAAACCATAGCTCTGATTTTCAAGCTCAGTTATGGCTAGGTTACCCCAAATGGATTTTTAAAACATGGGGTACATGTTTGTTTTTTAAATAGAAAGAAGAGATGGGGATTTCATGGAGAAATGAAAGGGGCTTTGGAGAAAAATTGGGGGGAAAGATGGGGAGGATGGGATTCGGGAACAATGCAAAGGAGAAACAGGGAAATTTGGATGAAATTGAAGGAATAGATATGGGAGTCAGAATAAAATTGGACGAAAAATGGAGTGCAGGAGACAGTCCATGATCATGCAGAGGGGATTAGTGTGAAATTATGAAGATAATGGTGAGAATACCGATTAGTTTGTTGGATTTGCAGTTTAGTCTCCTGCTTCTCCCAACCCATAAGCAGTGCTGTAAAGGTAGTTTCTGAATGAACACTTTTTCACCTTCTTTTATGTTTCTTGAGATCCAAATGACTTTTGGTTAAATATATAAACATCATTAAGTTGGAAGTGTGCAACTTCAATGAAAGATTTCAACAACCAAATCAACTCTTTGGAGGGTATTTGTTGTTTAACGTCTGATTTGGAGTGGGCAGACCGAAACTGGTGGTATAGTAGTCAGTGAAGAAGGTTATCTGAGGTTACAAAGAGATCTTGATCTGTTGGGTCAATGGGTTGAGGAGTGGCCGATGAAGTTTAATTTGGATGAATGCATTTTGGCAAAACAAACAAAGGCAGGATTTACGCAATTAAAAATGGGGCCATGGATAATATTGTAGAACAGAGAGACCTGGGGTTCAGGTACATAGTTCCTTGAAATTTATGTCACATGTAGACAGGATGGTTAAGAAGGTGTTTTGCACGCTTCTCAGACCTTTGAGTATAGAAATTGGGACATCATGTTGAAGTTGTACAGCATATTGATGAGGCCTCCCCTGGAGTATTGTGTCCGGTTCTAGTTGCTTTGTTATTGGAGGACATTACTAAGCTGGAAACAGATCAGAAAAGTTTTACCAGGATGTTGTCAGGAATGGAGGGTTTGAGTTATGAGGAGAGGCTGAACAGGCTGGGACTTTTTCACTGGAATATAGGAGGTTGATCCATGACCTTATAGAAACTTATTAAATTATGAGGTGAATGGCAGGTATCTTTTCCCTATGGTGAGGGATCTCATGACTGGGGGGCATATTATTAAGGTGAGAGGAGAAAGATTTAAAAAGGACATGAGGGGCAATTTGGTTTGTGTGGTTTGTGTGTGGAATGAACTTCTAGAGAAAGTGGTGGATGCAGATACAGTTACAACATTTAAAAGACATTTGGATAAGTACATGATTAAGAAATGTTTGGAGGGATATGGGCCAAATGCAGGCAGGTGAGACTAGTTTAGTTTGGGATTATGATTGGTGTGGACTGGTTGCATCGAAGGGTCTGTTTCCGTGCTGTATGACTCTACGACTCTAAGTACATGTTTCAGATATTTAACAGCTAAATTTCCCACCCAATTCAAACCCTGCCATTTTGGGTATTAAAATTACCTTCCTTGTCTTATCAAGTCTGTCCTTGGTGCATTTTAAGAAGTGGCATTCATTAATTTTTGTGATTTTTTTTTATGTTTTAGTGCATGATTTTAGGGAGGCCTCTGAGAAAAAAAAAATCATGACTAGGGTCATGAACGTTTGTCAACAATCTCCTGGTCTTCAGAGCAACAACCTAAGGAACATGGAACAAGGATTCTCCATCTGAACACTGGGGATATTTTCCAGAGAAATTGCAATTATCTCACAAATATGTTAAAGATGTATCCTCATACTCCACCCAAGAAATCCATGTTTCCAATGACTAATAGCCCATATCCATGATACAACCTCATGACCAACGTTTCCTCTAAGCTGCTCGGAGGGTCTGTGCAGCAGCAAGAAAAATTAGAGGGCCATGATTAGCATGAAGAACACCTCAGCCCTTTGAAATCTCTTGTCTTCCAGCCACTGCTCCGCCGGACTTAAATGTGAAGCCCAAAGCCAGACAAAAACGGTTCAGTCCAGACTGTCAGGCATCAGGGCATTTGCAGAATATCTAATGCATTGTTATAGAATTCCAGGGTGGATTTATTTTTCTCCTTGGCCCTTTCCTTTCTGGCATACATTGGGATTGTGCCTTGTTTTTAATGTAGGCTCTAGCCACTCTGATATAGCAACAATTTTATAACATTGTAGAACACTCTAACCCTAGGCAATGTTTTTGCACAGATATGATGAACGTACTGCTTATTGAACAATGACATTCCTTTTTGCCAATTAAAAACTTGAATAAATGCCAGCTTGACATGCAGTCCTAAACTATCTCGTACCAAAAAATTGCAATTTGAATTCGAATGACTATTATTTGAAATATTCCATTATCTTATAATTTTCAATGAAAAGATTTTGCTAGCATTTTTTTTCAGTTGCTGAGGTAGCACATATGCTGACATATAGTAGATGACTTTCCAAAGACTGTCATTAGCCAAGCACGCTCATTTATAGCAGAAGCTTACATTTGGGTCCTGCAGAAGCTGTGCCTGTGATTGTGGACCGTGGACCTCCTTTCATGGGGAAACCACCTTTTCCTCTGCGTGTGACAGGTATAGTGACACGTGGACGTTTTATTGGTATAACAGCACGAGGTGGTGGTGGAACACGGCCGTGGTAATCAAACATCCTGAAAAAAATAAAATTTATATTTAGCATACAATGTGCAACTTTGGTTTCTCAATTTAACTAACAAAGTTAGCACCATTACTTCAGTGGGACACATCAGGCCATCTAATGAACGTGTGTACATAGCTTCATAGTTTTTCTGTTTTTATATTCTGGAACTTGAGATTATTGGTTAATATATGACAGAATTTTTTGTTTTTCTTTAGGTCAGACTTGGTTTAATTGTGGCTCTGATCCAGTTGGGAGTTTATCATTTGAGCGATGCCATCTGTTGTACTGTCAAATTGTTCCCTACCAATCTCCATGCTCCACAATTCCCCACAACCCCCACCCCGCCAACAGACCTGATCCATCATCCCCTTGCCGCTGACTCGGTCCCCTCCATATCCTGTTGCCAGACCAATCCCAATCTTCCCTTTAGATGTCCCCACCTCTTGCCAGACCCAATTTCCTAAACCCAGAATTACCTACCCTAAACACTGCATTACTTACCTGGCAACCTTACAGCCTGACACCCTATCTACTTGGCACTCTACCTCCTTCCTACTTGGCATCCTAAACATCCCAAATCCTAAATCCTATCCAGTTGGCACTTTATTCTGTTACTTACTTGGCATTCTATCCATTACATATCTAGCATTCTTCCCTGGTACCCTACCCCTATCCAGTTGGCACTGTACTTACCTGGTAACCTGGGGAGGTGATGACCTAGTAGTATTATTGCTAGACTATTAATCCAGATACTCAGGTAATGGTTCTGGGCACTCAGGTTCAAATCCTGCCAAGGCAGACGTGGAACTTCGATTAAATTTTTTAAAAATCCAGAATTAAGAGTCTAATGATGACTTTAAACTATTGTCAATTGTTGAAAAAACCCGTCTGATTCATGAATGTCCATCAGGGAAGGAAACTAACATCTTTACTTGATCTGGCCTACACATGACTCCAGGACCACAGCTATGTGGTTGACTCTTAACTGCCCTTGAGGCTATTAGGGATGGGCAATAAATGCTGGCCTGGTCAGTGACGTCCTCATCCCATGGATGAGTTAAAAAAAACCTTAACATCTAGAACCTCATAGTCCTACCCATCTGCACCTTATGCTCCCAGCATCCCTAATCACATTTACCTTACATACTTACTATTGGACAACAGTTGACAAAGTGCCTGTCAGGACCTTAATGTTTCAGAATACAGCAGTTGAGTGCTGTAAAAAGGACACGTATTTTGACATTCCCCAACATTTCTGCACTGCGTCAGAATTTGAGTACACTCAGAATTTCTGAAGGAACTCCACTTGGAAGCTCCTGTCAGAAACCCTCATAAGCCAGTTCTGTGATCTGTTGCTACATTTAACTTTATTGTTAGTCATGTTTGATTCACCTTTGATGTAGGGTTTTTGTGCCATAGAGGAATGTATATCTATTGTAGACCACACAGGAATCTTTAAAACTAGTCACTGCCTGTCAACCAGTAGAAGCTTTTAGTGCATTTTCCCAATCAACCAAACCCAACTTGACCCTCATACCTTCATAGCTTCTTATGTTCAGATTTAAGACACTTATTTCAGAATGAACTATATCACTTTCAAATTTAATGTAAATTTACTCCATATTGTGGTAATTATTTCCAAAAGGCTCCTTCACAGCAAGATTATTAATTAGCCTTTCCTCATTGCATAATACTAAATCTAAAATAGCTGAATCCCTGGTTGGCTCTTCACTGAACTTCTCTAGAAACCCATCTTGTACACACTCCAGGAGTTCATGCTCAATAGCATTAGTTCTAAACAGCCTATTTAGTTATAAATCAAAGTTTCCCATTGTGCTACATTACCCATTTCATATGCTATGTTCCTTCTAATTTCTCTAGCTGCTGTTTGTAAAACCAGAGGGAATATGTGAGCACGGAGGTTAATATGTGCACCCCTTGGAGGAGCCGATGCAGTTGAGGGGGATCATTGGTTACACACATCCTTAATTTCTTGATTTATGCAATGTCCAACATTATCACCACTGTTGGTAGTCAATAAACAACTCCCATCAATGTTTCCTGCTTCTTGCTGTTTCTTAGCTCCACCAAAACTAATTCTCCAGGATTAAATCCTATGTTTTTTTGGCAAAGTCTGAGTTGGATTGAATTTTCTAAAGAGTTTATTGCTGTGAGGTCTAGTGAGTTCTCTTGCTCTATCCTACAAAACTCATCTCATTAATTACCTATCACACCCAGATGGTGGCTCTCAGAGATAGTAGGAACTGCAGATGCTGGAGAATCTGAGATAACAAGGTGTAGAGCTGGATGAACACAGCAGGCCAAGCAGCATCAGAGGAGCAGGAAGGCTGACATTTCGGGCCTAGACCCTTCTTCAGAAAGCTCTCACTTCCAATTTCTGCCAATCGTTGTTCAGCGATTATCAACTTAGTCCAGTCCATAGGTGTGTCCATCAGTACAATGTCCTTTGCAGCAACATTATAACAATAGATACCTTTTGATAAATGTGGTACAATGGTACTGATCCTACTCTGGGTCTGGAGGTCTGGGTTCAAGTTCCATCTGCCCTGGAGGTATGTTATAACATGTCCAAACAGGTGGATTAACGTGTGCAGTATGAGGAGCAACATTAAAGTGCAGAAACTTTCTGTAAGTGGATCGGGGACGTGCATGTCAGATGCCAATGTTTGTGAACATGGGGTTCACGTGACTGGTGCCCACGGAGTGTGCCCTGAGATGCCAGTGCCCAGTTTCCAACATGGAGATCATTTGGAACGAGTGGTGAGCTGAATCTGTTTGGTTGTTGAGTTGTTTGGTAAGAAAGGAGGCTGAATACTAATGAGGTGTATTGTGACATTAATGAGGTTTATAACAAGTGTTAATCCCTGTCTGTTTGGCGTCTTGCTGCTGCCTGGTCAGAACCTTGCGTGCTGCTTGTGAAAAGCAAAGGATCTTGTCAGGTGATCCCCATATTAAGATGGGTCTCAACACACTTATTGCCCAATTTTCCCACATGTCCTGCCATAGCCCACATTTACCCTGCATCTTAAGCCTTCAATGCAAGATCCTCTTTCATTAATGTACTGATCACATTCATTATTAGGAGTGTTGCTCAAACTCCTTTTCCTTTTTCCCTATCCTTCCTAAATGACAAATAACCTCAGATGTTCAGTCCCCAATCTTAGTTAATGTCTAACCATGTATCTGTAATGGCAAGTAAATCATATCCAATAATCTCCATTTTTGCCTTTAAATTGTGAATGCATTATACAAACGGAGAACTTTGTTTGTTTTTTTGACATTGTTGTTTTAACATAATTTTACATTCTGATCCTATTTGACATTTGCCTTTACATTGTCTGTCCTATACTATTGCTTATTTCTTTTCTACTTCAAGTTATCAGTTTTGTTTCCCTCTAATTTGAGCTCCATCTCCCAATCCCCTGCCAATTTAGTTTAACCCCTGCCCAAAAACAGCAGCAAATCTCCATGTGATGAAGTTAATTTCAGTTCTGTTAAGGTGTAACCTGTTCATGTTATATGGTGACTCAGTGGTTAGTGCTCCTGCATCACAGCACCAGGGACCCAGGTTCAATCCCACCTTCGGGTGACTGTCTGTATGGAGTTTGCACATTCTCCCCTCGTCTGTGTGGGTTTCCTCCAGGTGCTCCGGTTTCCTCCCACAATCCAAAGATATGCAGGCTAGGTTGATTGGCCATGCTAAATTGCCTGCAGTGTTTGTTGGAGGGGGGGGGGGGCAATACTCTGAGGGTCGGTGTGGACTTGTTGGGCCGAAGGGATTCTTTGAATGAAAAAAAAGACTCCACCTGCTCTTGAACCTGTTCCAGCACGTCAGGATACAGATAACCTCTGTCCTACACCAGTACTCCAAAGTGCTCAATTGCTTAATCCTCCTATTTCTGCACACACTGATAGTAATCCTGAGATTCCTGCTTTTTTAAAGTCCTGTTTTAAATCTCTTTCCTAGCTACCTAAAGTCTGTTTACAGGGCGTCATTCCCCTTCCTGCCTATGTTATTGGCATCAATGTGGGCTGCAACCTCTGGCTGTTCGACAGCTGCTCTGTGACACCCTTGACCCCAGCACTGTGGAGGCGACAATCTGGAATCATGTCTATGGCCATGGCAATGCCTCTCTGTTCCCCAAACTAATGTATCCCCTGTCACTACTGCTCTTCTACCCTTCTGCCTCCATTTCTGACCAGCTGAGGAATCCAGAGTGTCACAGACCTGGTTCTGGTTGTACTTCTTTCAGGAACTATACTTCCATGCATTCGCTGTCTGCCAGCATGTGTTCTATCTGTGTTGTATCAGCCATACTAAACATGCTATACAAGTAACTCAGCCTCATGGATGTGTCACAGTGACTCCAGCCACCACTCGATCACCCAAACCCAGAGCTCAAGTTTCAGCAGCTGGTTACACTGCTTGCATAAGGTCTCCTTGGTCATGGGTAACTCCATGACTTCAATATGTTTACAGGACACACACTCCACATGGCAGAGCTGCCTTGACAACCTTTAACTTTGGGTAACTTTACTTAATCCATCTCTCATGATTCAGCTGTTGGCCAGAGAAGGCAGCAGGTGTGTGAGGGGGATTCCAGCTTCCCTGTTCTGTCTGCTGTCCTCCATTGCACCAGGCCTTCTGGAGGTGGCTTATAACTGACAATCTTCAGGAAAACTGTGAGTGACATTCCAACGTGGTCATTTCCAGGATCCCAAACCAGAACTAAGGCTGATGTTGAGATGGGAACATTCAGCTCTTTGAAACCCTAGCTATGCTCGTCTGCCGAACGCATGTTAAATCCATTTCTGATGCAAATCTACCAGCCCAATGCAATACAGTCATGCAGAAAAATAGAAATTCTGCTAAAACTAATATTGTACATGGGATTTAAGAGCATCATATTCCCTCTGCCAATGAGTGCAGCCATCATAGATATTTTAGTGTCTTATTGGGAGTGGTGGAAACTTATATTATGCTTAATT